CCAGAATTTACTCCTCCTATCTAACTGCAACTTTGTACCCACTGACAAACCTATCCTAACTCTTTTTTTTTTTTTTTTTTTTTTTTTTTCTTTTTTTTTTTTTGTCTTTTGTCTTTTTTCCGTGTCCGGCAACGGATTGCAACCCTCAGTGTTGCCCCCGTACTGGACCGGGACCGGCAACGGGATCGCAAGCCTCGGCGTTGCTCCCACGCCTCGCTCAGCCAGTGAGCGGGAGCCGGTCTGCACGTGGGATCCGAACCCTCGGACGGGAGCGCCGCCGCGCTTCCCAAGCGGCGCACTATCCAGTGCGCCACCGGGCCGGCCCCCTACATTATCTTTTAATTGTATTTTTCATGAACTTTTTGAGGTAATCTCATTTTTGCTTTATCAGCATAAGCAAAAACATAATTATCATTAGATGGGTAGCGTGGTCTGTGAAATTTTAGGACCAGAATAGAGGAGCCTCTGAGCCAGGGATCTGTGATCGACTTTTCAGTTGCATGATCCAAATGAATCTATGTAATGACCTTATAATGTTGGTACTATTAGTGTCCCCATTCTGGAGAGGATAAAATAGAAGCTCAGGGAGTTTAAGAAACTTGCCCAAGGTCACACAGCAAATCAGTCGGCAGAGCTGAGGCAAGAACCAATCCAGAGCTCTTTTCTCTAGAGCCAGCCCCCACTTTGGGTAGGGCACTGAGGGACCTGACCTTTGGTTTGAATGTAGAGGGACTGCTCCTCCTATAAAGGGTGGTGGCAGGGAGGAGGGAAGCTCCCACTATTTGCCAACCAAGACCTTTGCTCCAAAACTAGGCTTCAAGTAATTTATTAACACAGTACTGACGGAGATAAACAGCCAAGTGGCCATCCCTGAAGAGAGAAACAGGGGGCTAGAATGCTGGGGTATGGAAGGGTGTCCAGGAGCTCTGATGGGCTCCCATCTCGTCCCACTGCTTTCTAATCCTTCCTGCCTATGGGCCTCAGTTTCCCCATCTGTCAAATGAGGAGAGTAGCCCATCTCTAAAGATCTTTTCTACAGGTAAAATCCAAGAAGGAATTTGTCTAAGATCCCAGGGCAGGGTCTAAACTCCAAGCCAGCATCCTCAAGTGAACATTTTCAAGAGTTCAAATTTCACTTTCTCACTGAAATCGCAATGTTCTCCTACCCTTGACCTCCCCAAACCGTCTCCCCTGCTCTCTATCTTGTTCCACAGAGACTTCTAAAACATGATACCATTTTTTTTTTTTTGCTTATTATGTGCTTTATTTATTGTCTATCTCCCCACTAGAAGCAGCCCCACAAGGGCAGGGACCTCATCTCATCTGTTGTATCCCTGCTGTATCCCCAGTGCCTGGAACAGTGCCGGGCACATGGCATGTGTTCAATCTATGGGAAATGAATGAAGGTGTGGTGGGGGAGCTGAAACATAGTTGCACGAAAATGATGGAAGCTGAAAGGTAAGAAAGGAAAGAAAGGATGAGCTTGGACCCAGAGTGTGTACTCAGGGCTCAGGAGCCTTTTCCATCCCCAACACCAACACCAACACCAACACCAACAGCTTAAGAGCACAGGCTCTGGGCAAACTCAGGTTCTAATCTCAGCTCAGATTCTTTTTGAGCCTCATTTTCCTCATGTGTAAAATAGAGGCCACAGATGGGCCTCTATTCCTACCCACCTTCCTGAATTGATCTCCTGGCTCCCCTCCCCCACTTTTCCTAATCTGTCCATCAATCTTTGTAATGCACCATTTTTTGTGATGCCATTCCTCTGCTCAAACACAGTCTATGGCTCCTGACTGCCTACCAAACAAAGGCCAAATGTCTTCACTTGGGATTCTAGCTCCAATCTACTTTGAAGAACATTCCAGAGTCAACATCACCTGAGATTTGTTAAATTCTCAGGCCTCACCCCAGATCTACAGTGACAGAAACTCTGGGGATGGGCCTAGCAATCTGAGTTTTAACAAGCCCAGCAGGGGATTCTTCCTTTTTTTGTCTTTTTTCGTGACCGGTAACGGGATCGCAACCCTCGGTGTCGCGCCTGCACCGCGCTCAACCAGTGAGCGGACCGGTCTCTATATGGGATCCAAACCCTCGGTGGGAGCGCCACCACGCTCCCAAGCGCCGCACTCTACCGAGTGCGCCACCGGGCCAGCCCCAGCAGGGGATTCTGATGCATATTCAAAATTGAGAATCCCTGCTCTAGAGTAGTTCCAATTTCATCCTTTTTCCATGTAACCTCAGTAAATCATCTCAGAGTGCCAAAGATCTTGGTATCTACGACAAGCAAGGAGAAAGGACATTGTCGGGTGGGAGGGAGGAGAGGGAGGAGGGAGGGAGGTTTTGGTAATGGGTCACAATAATCAACCACATTGTATATCGACAAAATAAAATAAAATTAAAAAAACAAACAAACATATGTTGTACACAGGTGATGGTAGTTAACACTGTACCCAAAAAATATATATAATTAATTGTGCATCAATTAAAAAAAAAAAGATCTTGGTATCTAAACTATATTAACAATGCCTCTTAGGCCCTGAAAAACACAAAATTTCATCCAATCTATGGGAAGGGTCTGCCCCAGCTGGACTCATCCAGCACCTTCCGACAAAAACATCTCTCATATTTCCCCCTCAACCCTTTCATCATTTTCATATCCATAAGTCCTGTTTCCCCAGCCACACCAGAAGCTACAACGTAACTAATGTCCTTCCATCCCCAGGGTGCCTAGCATAGTGCTTTTGGATGGGAGTTGCTCGATAACTATTTGTACCCGATGAGGTTTTTTTTTTGGCAGCTGGCTGGTAAGGGGATCCAAACCCCTGATCTTCTGTTATCAACACTGCATTCTTTTTTTTTTTTTTTGTCTTTTTCGTGACCAGTAACCGTGCTCAGCCAGTGAGCGCACCAGCCATTCCTATATAGGATCCGAACCCACGGCGGGAGCGTCGCTGCGCTCCCAGCGCCACACTCTCCCGAGTGCGCCACGGGCTCAGCCCCAACACTGCATTCTAACCAACTGAGCCAACCACCAACATCTCAGATGAGAACTTTCCAGTCTCCCTTTAGAAAAAGTTACTGTAGATACAATTGCACTGGCAATAGAGATCAACAGTCTGATGCCTCCCTACATGAAAGTGCTCCAGGACATTATAAATTTATATGCTGGGAAGTTCAGCTGGATGAAGATACAATTGCACTGGCAATAGAGATCAACAGTCTGATGCCTCCCTACATGAAAGTGCTCCGGGACATTATAAATTTATATGCTGGGAAGTTCAGCTGGATGAGCTAGGAAGCTCGGCTTCATGCACATTCTGAAACACTCCTCTCATTTGAGTTACCTGACTTTAGTAAGAGACCTTATTCCTGCTTATTTTTCCAGATGTGTATCTTTAGCTAGAAGAACTAAAGTTCTGTGAACAACAGGATTACTGGTGCAGCAGTAACAATAACTGCTGTTTATCGACCACTTACTATGTGCTAAGAGCTAATCCTCACAATACATTTTTGAGAAAACTGAGGTTCAGAGATATTCCATGCCTTATTCAAGGATGGTTAATCAATGGTCAAGGAAATTCCAATCCAGGTCCATCTGATTTCAAAGTCTACACTCTGTCCCCACCCCAGCAGTCCCCAAACCTCAGGAGCTAGAAGGGCTGCTGCTGGCCCCATTAGTTACTCCAGATATGAGGCAGCCTGAGGGTCAGCAGAAGGGGATGTCTCCAGGTACCCAATGTGGGCCAGGGCATAAATAACTGCAAAGCAGTCCTTGAGGGACTTGATAGGTATTAATCCAAGTGCCTTCATGGCAATACTACAAGAAACACCAAGCAGAGATCACCATCCTCACTTTACAGAGAAGGAAATTGAGAGTAACAGAGGTTCAGTGACTCTCCACGGTTATTGAGAGTGAGAAGCAGCAGGCTGCCTCTAAGTCCCACACTCCTTTTGTGGCCTCTAGGTATTTGCCACACAAATGGTTCTGCCACCAATCAATTCTGTCCCTTCTCCAGCCTTGACTTCATTTGGAAAACAAGTTTCTTTAATCCTCAGCAGCTCTATGAGATACATCCTATATTATCACCTCCATTTTACAGATGAGGAATCTGAGGCTTGAAGAGGACAAATGACTTGCCCAAGGTCACCCCACCAAAACAAGCTAAGTTAGATTTGCTGGTGCCAGGCAAACTTCAGACTCTTTCCATTATGTCGGCTTTCTCCCTAACTATTGGGCAGTCCAGGTGGGGGGCATATTCCTGGCTCCTCTTTCCAGCTGCCCAAAAGCCCCACTTCACAGTGCTCTAACATTTCATGGTAAGTTCTAACAGTAGTCTCCATCTTCACTCCTGGGCTGCAAGGCAGGAGGGACCCCTGCTTCCTTTCCACAGGTGGGGGGACTCACTTCTTTGGCAAATGTTTTTTGCCAAACAACATTTTGGAGGGGCTGGGGAAACCAAGAAAATGAGACAATGATCTAGTGGAAGAGACAGGCAAGCACCAGGTTATAAGTGTACAGGGTGATAAGTGGCGAGACAGGGGAAGAATAGGATACTGGATGGAGGAGGAAGGGGCCACCCAGAGACAGTCAGGAAGGCCAAGCCCTGCCTCAGCCCAGAGCAGGGCCCAAAAAACACCCAGGCTGAGCACATGGCACAGCCAGCCTCTCTCTCCCAGGAGGCCACCCGGTGTGGTGCAAAGTGCACGGTGCGTCAGGAGACCTGGGTCCCAGATCCGTTGCTGCCGCCGCTCAGCAGGGAGAATGACCTTGGACAACTCCCAGCCCCTCTCAGCTCCTACTGCCCAACCTGTACCGTTGAGGGTGGGGGAGCAAAGCGTCTCTGCAGCCACGGTCCTTGGGGATCCCCCATTGCTCCCCTGCCGCATCCCTTCCCCCCAGAACTTCCCGAGCGAAGAGCCGCCTCTCCTAGAAGTCCCCAGTGGGTGCTAAATCACAGTCACGGCAAAGGTCTGGGGAAGTGGCCGCTCCTCGCATCCTCCGCCCCCTCCCACTCTCCAGGACCCAAGATCTGCCCCTCCCACTCAACCCATCTTTCATTCTCTACCCAGACCCAGCTCCCTACCAGGACGAAGACCCTGCCCACACCGTCTCACCTCCCCCATTCTTTGCCCACACCCCTCCCCAGGCCTAGGTCCGGGCCCCGCCTCTAATTCTCAGCTTCCAGGCCAAGGAGTATCAGCCCCTCCTCCAGGCCCAGACCCTGACCCGTCTTTTGAATAGATCAGCCCCTCCTCCAGGCCCAGACCCTGACCCCCGCCCTTATACACACCCCCGCGCGCGCGGCCACCCCCGCCTCGCCAGGCTCTCACCGCGCCGCAGCCGCAGCCGCAACGTCCCCGGCGCGAGGTCCCGGGCCCCCCAGCAGCTGCCGCGACACCGCAGAGATGCTGCACAGCCGCGGAGCCATGTTGGAGCGGAGTGGCTGGAGGAAGGCCCCGCCCCCGAACCCCAGCGGCGGAGGCGGGGCGTACGTAAGCCCCGCCCCCGGCTCATCTGCCTCCCTCTGCGCCCAGCTAGGTGGTTGTGTCCACGTGTGTCCCCCAACTCTGCAGGTGCTGGGCGGGAGTCACGTTCTAGTCCTCTGAGCCCCTGCAGCTCTGCTGCCGACTCGCTCTGTGACTTTTCGCAGCCCTTTGCCCAGTCTAGGCTTCAGTGTTCACCTCGGTAAAATGGGAGCTTTGGACAATAATACCAGGGGTTCTTAACTGGGGCTTTTGGGGCTGAGCAGCAGTCAGTAAGACCCCTGAGATTGTATTATGTGCGCCTGTGCGTGCACTTCCTTCAGTTCTCCTGCCTGACACATTAAATATTTACTGAATAAGTGAAAAATATGCACCCAAAAAGCGAGACTGGATGCCATCTAAATCTTGTATCTCAGGTTTTTGAGGAGGACAAACACACCTTCTGACACGGTAGGGGAAAGAACAAGATGTTAGTTTCTCAAGTGGTAGGAAGAAGATTCGGCTCTTGCCCGGTGGGAGGTGTCGTCTGTTACTTTTCTTAAAAGGGCAAACGAAGGGTGTAATGGATTCGGCTATGGCGGAGGAGAAAGAACTCTTAAAGCGGAGGCACTGGTCTAAGCCGCCTGGCCGAGTAGGAGGGGGGCTGTCAGTCCTTACCGAGAAGTCAGTGGAATCTGTGGTAGCTGAGACTCAGGTCCAGGAGGAGATGAAGCTAGCCAGTTAGCTCAGTTGGTTAGAGCATGGTGTTAGAACACCAAGGTCAAGGGTTCGGATCCAGTTACCGGCTAGCCAAGGGGGGAAAAAAAAAAAGACAAAAAAGAAATAGGCGGAGATGAGGGCAGAGCTGTAGGGGAGCAGAATTCTTGGATGTTATTAAACTTAGAGCTAGGGCTAGGGTCTGGAGCTCACAGACAGACCCCTCGTGCCCATTCACAAACCCTTCATACGCAGCTCTATGATCTAGGTAACTGGACAAATAGGGTTCTTGGAACCTTGATTGAAGTAGGAATAGTCATTATTAAGCACACACACGTCTAGGAGCTAGGCAGTACAAAGAGAAACTCCAAAACTCAATGGCTACTGGCAAAGTCCAAGGAAAAACTGAGCAGCTGCTAGCAGAGTAAACATAATCTATTTTTAGACTTGAGCTCTGCCGGCCAGAGCTGCTTCACAAACTGAAGAACACAGGATAGCAACAAAACTAAAAAGATACATTGGTACACATGCACACTAACTCCACTCACACACAACTTGTTTACAAGAAATGTGCTGCTCCACCCCCAACCAGACCTGAGTGGAGGGAGCCTAACTAAATTATCCTATTTTCCCCACAGAGCCTGTTAGCTCAGTTGCTTAGAGCACAGTGTTATAACACCAAGGTCGAGGTTTCAGATCCCCATGCTGGCCAGCTCCACACATACACACAGAAAAAGCACCAAAATGTTCTTGCCAATTGTGATAGAAGAAGTATGGGGAGGACTTCTAATGGGTTTGGGGGGAGGAGAAGGGAGGTTCTGTATAGACCAAGTATTTATGTTGACTTTGCAAGGAAGTCGACTTTTTTTCTTATGTTTTCTGAAGTTGCTACAATGAACACATATTATTTGTGTGATTTGTTTAAAAAGGAAACTGGATATCATCATGATAAATGAAAAGTCAGAATCAATTGTCATAAACAGGCAAATCCATCAAAATAAATGGAGACAACAGTGTTGCTTCTACATTATAGCTAAGGGAGAAGCTGTGAACCTGGGGCTTGCTTCCTGTGTTAACAAAGTAAGCACATAGAGGGGGACAGAGACACACTGGGCCCAGTCACTCCATGGGGTTATCAGAGGGACTGAAAAGGAGAGAAATCAGCATGATCTTGTCAGGGTTCCCAGTCACAGCCACTCAGGAAAAACCCAGATGGGTAGAGGGAAGCACAGCAAATGGAGATGTCACTGGTATTATGCAGTGGGAGCTGCTCTTCCCTAAGAACCCAGTGTGGAGAAGAGGAAGCCACCACCTCCACCAGGCCTTGTAGAAGGCTTGACTTTGCATCAGACTTTCAAGGGATGAGTAGGAGTTTTACAGGAGAAGGGGGAAGGGCAAAGGGAACTTCAGAGGAAGCAATGTGCACACAGTATGTGTAGGGGCTGCCAAGAAGAAAGCACAATCAAATATAATCAAAGGGTGGAGTGTATATAGTGACAATTTCTCACTCAATACAAGGAGTAATTTTCTTTATGTATGTGTGTGTGTTTGTGTGTTTTGGTGGCTAACCAGTGCAAGGATCCGAACCCTTGACCTTGGTATTATAACACTGTGCTCTAACCAACTGAGCTAACCAGCCAGCCCAGGAGTAATTTTCTAACAATGGAATGGGCTGCCTTGGTGACCTGTCACTGAATTATACCAACAAAGGCCTCATAGCAGCTCCTTGGCCATGTGGTAGAGGGCATTTGGCAATCGAGCCACAGGAAGATGGACCCAGGACAGGGAGGGGCTGGCCCTGCTGGTCTAGGGTGAGAGCCTTTTGTGGAATATACCAATAATTTATAAAGCAAATGTATTTCACAGGGCCTAGCTCTCTGTAGTTTCAGGTTTAGCCTAACCTTTTGAAATTACATATAGAAATGTCGACCTTGAAAAAGACAGGAAACTTTCCTCAGGCTAGGGTCTCTGATGTGGATGAAGAGTTGTGGCACAGCAAAGTTGCTGGCTCAAGGACAGACAAGTTACTTGATTAACATATAAAGAAACTGGGAAATTGCTTTAGGGAAAAACAGTGTTTGCTAAGATCAAGCTTTTGTTGGTGGATCGACTTAACCTTTTACAAATTGCATTATGGAGTGTCACTGTGCTTACTTCAATGATGCTACTAGCTTTCCATTTGTTAGCCATAATTCTGCTGATATCCTTATGTCTTTGTAATGGTTAAATCAACTGAATTTTCTTGTAAAACTTCCTTGTCTTTAGAATAAAAGGGAGAGGCTAACTTTGGAGGTGGCTGCCACATTCAGTTTTGCTCCTCCATAATGAGGAAATTACTGAAGTGCAGTCTGTCCGTCCGGGCCTCAATGCATACATAGTGCTTGAGTATTCATGTAATTCTTTTCTTCATATCCGTTACACAGGGAAAAAAGGTGTAACAGCCTTTCACCAAAGCCTGGGTGTTTCTGGCTGCCTCACCCTTCTCCCAAGGTGGGGAGAATGAGGGAGTCTGACCTGCAGCCTCCTCCCATTGGTCTTGGCATTTCCAAGAATGGTTTTCCTATCTCCTCCCCACCCAAATAGGGCAGGAGTGGTAACCAACGAGTCCTGTGGGATTCCCCTTCACTGATAAACAACATGTGAGAGGCCTATGTGGCTGGGGGAATCCCTGACCTGTGTGGGTCCAAGTGTTTTCTGCTATAGGATCACCAATCACACCCTCCTAAGATTTGGGGTCATTTATTTCACAATAATTGGAAATGGTCTAATTCCTTATTTGTGAGAAGCTTTTTCTTTAGGAAAAGGCTTTTTCTTTTAGGAAAGTCTTTTTCTTTTGGAAGACACGGACTGGGAGATGGAGGGTAAAGTCCCAACTGCCTCCCTGATCAACCGAGGGCTGGGGTTTATATAGGTAAATGTGTTGGGGAAACAGAATGTGGGGTCTTCAACTGTGATGGACAGTTGCTTTTGATACAACCTTAGTTAATCATTATGGGCATTATGGGCTAGCTAAAAAGGGAAAACAAAGTTAGTTCTATAGTGTCTACAGGAGTGTGGGGGGGTAGTTCTATGCTTACAGGAGGGTGAAACAAGGTGGATCCAGGGGCTTGCTTCCACCCTTGACTGGGGGAGATGGGTCTCCCTCCCCATCCTGTATGGACCGGTGTGGCAGCTGACTGGAGAAACAGCCTCAAGGCCCCCACTCCCATCCTAGCTTGGGTGACCAACTTATCCCAGTTTACCCTAGACCTTCTCAGTTTTATCACTGAATGTCCACTGTCCTAGGAAACCCCTCAGTCCTGGGGAAACTAGAAGCTTTGGTCATCCCAATTAGGGCCCTATTTCTCTCCCCAGGACACATACCATCTCCATCCTGAACCTTTTCCTTGCTTAATTCAACCTATTTACTCTACTTGAAAGAGAGGTGGTTAGAACTGAGCTCTCCTGTGGCACTCAGTGAAATGCAATGCTGGTTAACTGAGTACCTGGTATAAACTTGTCCCTGCTCTGTGGACCATGAATTCTGGGCAGCTAACCAGTTGGATCAAAATTTCACAGATAAGGAATTACACCATTTCCAATTACTGTGGAATAAATGACCCCAAATCTTAGTCGCTTGAAACAATAAAGAGTTATTAACTCACACAGTTCTGAGGGGTCAGGATTTCAGGAGTGGCTGGTTAGCTGGGGTGGTTCTAGCTCAGAGTCTCCCACATGGTTGTATTCAAGGTGTTGACTCAGGCTATAGTCATCTGATGATTTGACTGAGGCTGGAGAATCCACATCTGAGGTGGGTCATTCACATACCTGGTGAGTCAGTGCTGGTTATTGACATGAGGCCTCAGTTCCCTGCCACATGTTCCACAGGCCTACTTGAGTGTCCTCCCAACCTGGCAGCTGGCTTCCCCTGGGGCAAGTGATCCAATAGAGAGGAAGGTGGAAACTTCAAGAACTTTTATGACCTGGCCTTGGAAGTCACACTCTGTCATTTCTGTTCATCCCGTTGGTTACATGTGTCAGCCCTTTTCAGCATGGGAGTGGGCTATACAAGAGTGTGAACACCATCGTGCAAGAGTCTCAGGGGCCATCTTGAAGGCTGGCTACCACAGTTAGGTTTTGCACCAGGCCCAACTTAATTACTGGGACCCAGCTCTTCAAGCCGTCTTCTACAATCAGTCATTCCCAGCATCCCCATTGGTCTCTATCCTAGCATCTGTCCCTCTGCCTCCCTGTCACTTCCTCTCTGAGGTCCCTTTCTGCCCACCACT